TTGTACATATTATATAAACGTATGTATATGTATACTTACGTATATAAATGACATACATTTGTTTTGGTAGAATAATAAAAAGTGCTCATAGATAAATATGATAAAAACGATCGTTTAGCAGAACCTTCTGAGCTCAACGGCTGATATGACACCTAGTGCAAACCAGATAAAGTTGGGTTTTAATCAATTAGAGTAACAAATTAAGAAACAGCAGACTGTATGAGAAAGTATAACAGTTGAAGCTTTTACTCTCTTGCTGTTTCACTTTCAAAGAGGAAATCAGGAATCCAGACGAAGCTTTTGTGATGTCCCACCTTAATACTGAAATGTGATTGGCTAACCTCGTTTGGGTTTGGTCTCAAGGGGTTAAAACAGAAGCAGGACATTATGAATTCTCACGTTTTTATAAATACTCTGAGAATTCGGTTGTAGAAAAGGTTAGATGTTCTAAGCAGGACAAGATGAAGTTACTTAATTTACAACCTGAATGTCAGCAACACTCTTAAGTGTTGAAACTTTCCACTCCCACAAAATATTTGCAGTTTGTGTTTCTCCTCACTTTGGCTCCTACTCCTGATAGTCATTTGTAAATTGATAAATCTCACTGGTCTTTATGTAAACACAGAAGTCATATACTGTAAGGTGTGAAAGATGGAAGAACCTTAAACATTAGCCATTTGATAAATTTGGTAAAAATTATAGATTTGCATTTGCACAAAAAAAAAATCTAACAGATAAATTAAAAAAACTATTTTCCCTTTTTAGCTTTTGTTTGACTAAATATGTGATTTGTTGTCTGCAGCTCTAATTTTACTGGCTTTGGTTAGTTACAATGTAAAATCTTGTTTATGACCATAGCATAATAACAGTAAAATCTTCTATCAAGTGCATTTAAATAACTTTAAACCTTTTCAGTTATTAAGACATAAAAACATTCCCAATAGATCAGGTAAAGCAGCAACCTCCTGGAAGACTGCATCATTTTTATAATCTTTAAAGTAGCATTCCCAGAGTTTCACTCTTTATTTATTTATGTTTTTTTTACATTGCCCATTTCTTACATACAATATGAGAGACGAAGGAATATTTGATTGGTACATCCAACAGATGGCCTCCTGATGTGCACCTTAGCTGAATTTATTGCTAAAATAACAACAGTGTGAGGATTTTTTAACCCTTGATAGTCAATAACTGCCCAGAATAATAAATTCACTGATCTCAGTTTGCTTTCACCTTTATCCGCCCACCTCCACAACACTGTCATTAAATACTTATAACAGCCCTTCCAGGCTTTAAATTGCTTTTGTCTGACCGCAGATTCAGTACTGACTGAAGATCTCCTGCAGGAACAAGAAAGCTCTTTTATTATTGGAGGTAGTCCTCCTTAATGTCACGTCTTCAACAGGCATTCGGATTTTTCACTTCCAGGCAAGCACCACAGTTGTGCTTTAAATGACATTTAATACTTTAAAGGGTAGAATTAATAAAGTAAAAGCCATCAAGTAACTGTATATGTTACAGCATTTTCTTCTGTGACAAATAGATTATTTGTGTTGCAGATTTTTTATTATTTCTTTTAACATGTTTTTCTGCTCCAAGAATCAGTTATTCTTCCTTTGATCTAATGAAGGCTAATTTGATTTGGTATCAGCACCTGCTTGATAAATGCAATTAAAAGTGTTTTCAAATACTTTATCAACAATCCGATTTGCATGACTACATCAGTTTACAGCTTTAATAAATGAGGCTTATCGAAGCCCCTAATCTGATGACAAATGACTTGATATTTAAAAATGGAAATGTAACTGCTTTGTTGTGGCTTTGATTTAATACACCATCGATGCATTGATCACATTAACAGCAGTTGCTCTAAAAGCCAATATGCAAGTAATCTTTCTCTCACTTTTAGACAGAGACAGATGTATCAGTAATTAATTTTCCATCTTAAAGATCTGTTGCAAACAAGTCTATTCTCTGCAGACATCTTTTTTTGTATTAGACAGAAAGAAGAAATGAACCAGGAGAGAAATGGAGAGATGATTTATTCCTTTCACTATTCTTTACTGCATGAATCCAAAGTGTGGTAAATAGTCTAGGTTTGTTTTTAGATTGTGGCCTTTGCTTTTAGAATCACATCCATAATACGTCACTGTCTGCACTTCCTCACCTGAGAATCATATCAAAAATCAAATCCCCTCAGTCACAACCTGATTTGGAAAAACTGATTAATGCATTTATTTCTAGTAGATTAGTTTACTGTAATGCACTCTGTGCTGGAACATCCCAACAGTCCCTCAATAAACTCTGCACCAAAGCTTTTACCTACATAAAATCAAAAGATCCGACCATATGTTTAATGTCTTATACATTTATTTAGCAATTTATGTATTTGCTTTTTGCTAATATATTATCCTCTGTGTTCTCGTGTACTTTATTTGTATCTTACTCCTGAGTTGTGTTTAAATCTTAATATTTTGCCACAAATGATTATGCTTTTGTCTACATGATTCCACTGTAACAGTGGCAGTCTGTTAAATTATCTTTTCCTACTGTTTTCAGAAGTTCACTGACACCTCAGCACAGCTAACTGACCCTGTAAGTTGGGAAAAAACAGATAAGTTTAAAGCCATTATTCATTAGCCATTGATTATTTATTACCAATGCGATATTTTTATGTCATCGTAACACGCATACTAAATGTAATTGTATTTTTAATATTTCTGACAACTGTTATTAGTAATGAAACTCTATTTCGTTTCACCCCTTTACAGTCCTTTAATTTCTATGCAAAATTCCCTGATTAAACATGTTTTTTTCATTTTTAGTAGAGCTTTTATTACGGTAGTATGATCAGTCCCTCCTTAGCACAGGTCATATATTTTTATAGTATCATTTATGTACAGTAAAATACTCATCATTTGTTGTAATCATTGCTTTTACACAAATTCTTTTAAAAAGAAATTGTAAATTCAAGTGTTTAAAGCCAAAACATTAGTTTTTGATAAAACCCTAAATGTTTTCAAATTGATAATTAAATCTCAAAACATATTTATATTATTTTTCATTTATTTAAATGTAGAGATTTTGACAAAATCAAGAATTTTACACATATTTGGTAATACAGCATTTTTTGCATTGCATTGATGTTTAAATAACAAATAATTAAAGTACGTAATTTGTACCACAATGCTGGTTACAATGAGTTTCCTTTGCAGGATGGCTGGGCACACCCTTCGAGATTGGGTGAGGAGCTCGGAGTAGAGTCGTTGCTCCTCCACGTCAAAAGGAGCCAGCTGCAGTGGTTGATCATCTGTTTCAGATGCCTCCTGGTCGCCTTCGTCCGGAGGTGTTCCAGGCATGTCCTACGGGAGGAGGCCTTGTGGAAGGCCCAGGACAAGCTTGAGGGACTATGTGTCCAAGCTGGCCTGGCGTCCCCTCGGGGTCCCCCTAGAGCAGCTGGAGGAGTTGTGTATGGATCAGGAAGTCTGGGAATCTCTGCTTAGACTGCTGCCTCCGCGACCTGGCCCCGGTTAAAGCAGAAGAAAAAAGAAGGATGGATGGAGAGCGTCAGTTTTAAAAAGCACTTTTTTTCCTGGAGGCTGAACCCAGTCCAAACTTAGTGCCACTACATAGTGGTAATGTTCATTCAGGTTGCAAATATATCCCTATTTTTTATATTTTGTCATTAGAAGCATTTTGCTGTTGCTATTCCAGGTTTATGCTGTTCTTTGGTGGACTGGTCCATGCAGGAAATTGCTATATTTCTATTTGGGGATTTCTGGTGTTTTGGGCTTCATTTGTAAAAATGTTGACCCATTTTAATCTTTTCAGTCAAAGTTAAACAAGAAAATAAACAGAGCTTAGAGTGAAACGTGTCCATAACAAATTTGTGGTTTCTTAGAGTTGCAGTCAAATTAAGGCCATTCACTTCTAGAGCCAGTATTTTTTGCACACTCAAACACACACACTCACATGACTGTTGAATTTACTACTATTAAACTGAAAATGGGGAAGAGAGATGCTGTAATGCACAAGAACACCCACTTCATTCTCCCCTCCTTCTTCTCTGAGGCCCTCTTTTCTGCACTTAGTCCACCAAACAGCCTTCCACTTGTTAAGTCATGCTGACTGGATCTTGGACTTATTGCTCAGCTATGCAATAGAGCAGAGGATTATCCAAGCACTACAACAAAGATCTGGAATTCTACTTTCTTCATTCACCGGCTTCGCTGACAGAGAGAAACTAAGCTCTTTCATCCTTTTAAACTATTTTTCTATATCTGTTTTTTGTGTAACTACTCTTCAGCATGACCTTGTTATCAGAGGACCAGTCTGCAAGGCCCCAGCCCTGCATGCTCTCAGAACCGGGTAAACATATTACCACGTCTTTGCAAGAGTCTACGACGGACTACCCCTGTTCCAAAGAAGACTACATAAACAGTGGCGACAGTGATGTATTTGGAGTTGTGGAGCCGCCCAGACGCTCTCTGGGTCGTCTTATCCTCCACAGCCTGGTGATGTTTGGTCGGGAGTTCTGCTACGCTGTTGAAGCAGCTTTTGTGACACCGGTGCTGCTGAGTGTGGGTCTACCTCGCAGTTTGTACAGCCTCGTGTGGTTGATCAGCCCCATCCTTGGGTTTCTGCTGCAACCCATTATCGGCTCGGCCAGCGACTACTGTCGCTCGCCCTGGGGACGGCGGAGGCCCTACATCCTGGTCCTTGGCATCATGATGCTGATAGGGATGAGCATGTTCCTGAATGGAGATGCTTTCATTTCAGGTGAGGGATGGGGATGTATGGTGGATTTGATTTGTCTCCTGAGTACAGACATCTGCTGTTAATCATAGCTGAAAGTTTTTTAACCAGTCCAACTCCTATCTTTCCTGCTCTGAGATTTTTTAGCTTAAGTCTAAACAAAAAACAAAACAAAAAAACATACACTCCTGTTTTAAAGTTGTGATTGAAGGTGGATGTTTTACCACCGTAAGCTGACCTGAGCTGATGTCCCCTGAATCAGATGTATTATCAGACAGAGTAGAGAGAATGTCATCTAATTTAAATAGAGATAGAGAGACTTTGTTTTGATTAGAATCAGTCAGGCTCCAGTTCAGTTTCATAGAACTGGTGACCTCACTTTTCCTTTAAAAAGAAATTGATTTTATTTATTTTAAGACAGCCCACTTGAGCTTTTTTTCTGAGAAAGTTTCTCAAGTTGCCGAGTCTGACAGCTCTTCTTTCCTGCTTTTTACAAGATCATTGAGGGTTTACCTCTACAGCTCAAACATTGATTCAGTACCAGAGAAAAATCACCTCAGTGGTTAAAAACAAGGGGTCAGAGTCAATTTATCACTTCACCTTTTTCAATCCTCATGTTATAAACCCACATTTGTCTACCCTTCTTGTTTTGACCTTATATACATAAGCAAGCCATTGTATACCTATCTATCTAAGACATCTCTCCTCAGTTTAGTTCTACTAGATTTTTTAAAGTAATGGTAGTGATAAATATAAATAAGTTTAAATTTCTTTTTTTTCAAGATTTATAACCTCCCCAAAAAAAGAGATTCTAATTTTGAGTAGGCAAAAGGCTCAATTTTGTACCTTTAAACAGTTGGGTGTAAAACAACAACTACAAATGTGTGACAGGGCCAGGGGGTGAAATATTCAAAATATTCTGAAAATCCCAATACATGTTTTAATTATCCCCAAGCATAAATGTATAATTGAGTTATACAAATATAGAATAGAGTAGATTTGAAAAACTTTTATAGTCATATAAACTGAGTGATGAAATATCATTGTTAATTAATTTCCATAAATTATCCAGTTCCTGATATGAACCATTACTGATGTTGTTTGGATAAACTAATTAAACCAGCATTTCACTCAGGCTTATAGTAAATGCCTCTCTAATTGCCTACCATCATGTTTTACTTCTGTGTGTTTTGTTCTTACTGTTGCGGGAGAAAAAAAACAAAAAAACATTTGAAATGTGGTTTGCTGGTTTGTTATTTTCGGGTTTTAATCTTACTTCTTCCATTTATTTAAAGACTGGAGAACCATTTGAAACTTGAGTCTTTATTTGTTTACACTAATGAGCTTTATTTTTTTCACTAAAAAGTATTTTTGATTAAAAGGTTGGGAATTCAGATTTGTTTTGATCTGTTTTCTAAAAAAGAAATGTCTTTTTTGTTGCCTTTCAGACACTCTTAGAGTGTTGTATTGATTTAGTTCACAACATGGTCAAAATTCCTTTCAGTCACAATGTTGTTCTCTTAATTGTATCTGCGCAGAGTAATCTTAAAAACCCAGTTTTCCTTTTTATTTAAACACATCTTGTTCTTTAAGGCCTTGGGTTGGGTTTACAGGTGACTTTAAGGGATTAAGAAGTTAATGGGGAGTGTAAAGCAAAGACAGGCAAATTAACTGAGCACTCTGAGTTCCCTCTTTGCTAAAATTACAAAAAGTTTGAGGTTGGTAACTATACCTCAGATACAGATTTCTGTAAGAATAATAGGCCAGTTGTTAGCTGGTTCTTTTTAGGAAGTTATGTAAAAAAATTAGGTTTCCCTATTGCTTGTTTTTTGTGAAATTTGCCCAAAGATTTCCCAAATCTTGTGCAGAATTAATTCCCAGTCCAGATATGTTCATAAAATATGTGGTATGTTTTTCCCAACTTCTCATAAGCATAAATGTTTTCACAAAGAGAATGAAGGTGTCATACATCTTAAAACCTATGTTTAGATATACTCAGGTCATTGTATTTAGTTCAGATATTTTTAAAAGTAGATAATGAAATGTAGCCTAGATTTAATTAAATAAAAAAAAAAAACAAAGAAAACAACAATGAAAATGTTCTTTAATCTAACTGTAACAGCAGATTCTAACTTTAGCATAATTATCAGCTCAAGGTTCACCAGTGGATGTATTCTCATGGCGCTTACAAGTAGTTGGATCTTGTCTGTATCAGTCATTTTATTGCAAAATGGTTCCAAATATACTTAAAAAAAATGTATATGTAAAATGTTCTCTGTGGTTGCTTATATAAAACATTTAGCCATCAACCGTTATGCACCCTTTGGTGATTCCCAAAAAGTTTTTCACAACAAACATGCAAGAACGCAAATGCGTGCTGCATTTACTCAGACATTTGGACAAACATTTTTAACGAGGCGTCTCAGAGGTGAAAAGCCATCGGAGTTTGCTTTGTCATAAGCAGTGCTGAGGAAACCTGAGAGTTCAAGGATGAAAACATTAAACTTGGCTGAGATTAAACACTATAGCCAGTCCTTACACATGTTATCAAAAGCTGTTTAACCAGAGAACAACAGAAGGTGCTGCAGTCACAACAACAGGGGAAATTGCTTTAGACACAGTTGTACATGTTCTAAAAGAAGCAGATAATGCTTGTTACACGGCTACTAGGGCTGTTTGTGTTGTCATTCTGTCCTAGTTTTACACACTGTTATGGGGATTCATTGGGACCTGCTGCAATCAAATACTACAGACTAGCAGCCACTGAGTGTCCATCTTTTCTTTTAGTCGATATTTTTTTCTGAAAATGTATTGTAGTAAATGGGCAGTATTGTGTATTTATCTTTCTGCCCATATTGGTATTTGTTTATTATTAGTTATAGTTTAGTCTATTATATTATAGTCTAATATTTCTCTTTATAGACTCAGACTGCATGCATCGACAGATCCCAACTGCATCTCATTTACATATTTTCTAATTTATATCTTCTATAAAAGCCATCCATTTTTCTTCTTTAAGTTTAATATTCAACTTTTCCTCTAAGGGTGTGTGATATTTTATATTTTGCTTCTGAAGGTGTTTTATATTCTTTAAATATGGTTTTTATGGATGCTTACATTATTTTTATTATATATAAAACCTTAATAAGTATTATAAAGGCTATGATATAGATTTTGATGCTTAATATTGTCATTTTTTTGTCTTCACAATAAATACAAAGAAAAATGCCAATCCCTAACTCTTAGAACTTTGTTGATATAAGTTTTTTGTGTGAAAAAGATAACCAAACATTAAACAACTTAGTAAACTGTTCAATTTTGAGTGATGAGCTGCTTCCTGTGTTTCTTTCAGCACTGGTCAGCAACAGGTCATTAAGGAGCATTTGGGCCATCGTCGTGGTGATGTTCGGGGTGGTGTTGTTTGACTTTGCTGCAGATTTCATCGACGGGCCCATCAAGGCCTACCTGTTTGACGTATGCTCTCATTCTGACAAGGAGAGGGGTCTGCACTATCATGCTCTGTTTACAGGTATGCCTCATGTAGACACACAGAGCTTTACTTTGTCACTCACTACTTTGGAGATTTCAATGTTACCTACATATTATCCAACAAGATAAGTTGTGGCATCTGCTTTTTTACCTTCACTGTTATGGAAGTGTGTTCTGTGATACCTTCTTGGGTTATTTTAGCCTCCTGCATTACTCATGCAACTCCGGTGGTGAATTGAGCCGTTTGAGCATTCATGGCAGCGATTCAGGAGAATTTGCTTTGGATCTGTGCTGTGACTGAGTAGGTGGAGCAGAAGTGACTGATGAATATTTATAAGATTTTTTTTTTTCCAACAAATGGAGCTAACATGTAAACACATAAAATGGCAAGTCAAACTGTGGGTGAGCTGTCCAGCTGATTTCATGGAAAGCAAATGGCTAAAGCGATTAAATTGACATCGAGTAAAGTACATTTTGTGTTGAAGGACAATATAACAGCTTTTTTAAGGAAATAATGTCTGTGAATTTGCTATCTTTGACTTTTAAAGCGAAAATTCAAATTTTATTTTGCGCTGCCAAAGTAGATTGCCTATATTTACTGGCCATATATCTTTTAGGATTTTTTTTTCTTTTTTTGCTTCCACTTCGGAACAATTTAATTATTAATTACATAAAGTAAAATAAACTTGTTAAGAATTAAGTAAAAGCATAATACTATAAAAACTAATATAATTTGAATTGTTTAAACAAACAGTAAGAAGTATCCTTATATGATTTGGGTTAAGTTTTTGTATAACCTATTGAACAATAGAGTGCAGTTTGGTTGAAATAAGAGATAAATATTTGGATGAGATCACAAATCTTAAAGTGGGATAATTCATTCTCGCATACATTGTAGAACCTGGACTTGTTTCTGTTTTCACACTAAATCTGGGAAGCACCAAAACATCCCAAAAGAAACCTAAAAAAAAAAGAAAAAAAAAGAAAAAATAAAACATGATCAAGAAAATAGCCATGCTCTAAATGCCAGGGGGTAAAATGATGTGTTTGGTGTGAGCGTCAGTGAAGCGTTCAGCTGCCAGCAGGCACCGGCTGGTGTGAGCATGCGAGTCAGGCAGTAATCTGGCCCTGAGCTCGTCATGTGCTAGAGTCATGGGTATAAGCTGGGAGGAACACAGGCCAAGCACATGACTCTCGAGACCCTGCGTTGCCACTGCTGGAATGTAAGATTTGAGGAAGAAAGGGCAAAATGATGATTTTTTTATGTTTAGTTTGATTTTATTTCCATATTCAGGAGTGTCACACTTCTATTGTTGCCCTTGTGCAGAAGTGGGCAGACATCTTTTAATTATCTTTAGAGCTGGGGTTCTAAAGACCACATTAATCAAAGCAGATAAATGATTACTGGCACAAGCTGGGTGTTACCAAAAGCTCCAGACACAGTCGCTTCGAATGAGACACAATACTGGGATGGGTTAAACAGTAATTAGTTTCCATCATTACAGCAGTGAGAAATTATCACAAAATGTAGTTATTTTAAGATACTCAATAAAACACATTGCGTTGGGAATAAGCATGAAAAATGTCTGTAAAGTTTTGTTGTAATGCTTGAAGTGGAACTGAAATAGAAAATATGTAGAAATAATCAATTTGTTTTGGAAAAACACCCTAGAATCAATTCATCAATTCATCAAGAATCAAGAATTTAAGACACATTTAAATAACATGTTTGTTTTTTTTTTTTTGTTTTTTTTTAGAGTGGTATCATAAATATATAAAGTGCCTTGCAAAAGTATTCAGCCCCCTTGAACTTTTTGACCTTTTGTCAAATTTCAGGTTTTAAACATTAAGATAAGAATTGTAATTCTTTGTGAAGAATCAAGAAGAAGTGGGACACAATCATGACATGGAACGAAAGTTTTTGGACATTTGTTTTTTTAACAAATAAAAAAAAAAACTGAAGAGTGCGGCGCGCAAAATGAATCGGCCCCTTCATTCTTGAGACACAAACTGTTACGACCCGGCTTGAGTGGTCGCAACAAAAACTGGGGGGACATGGAAACAGGCAGTACTTTAAGCCTATAAAAGGCATTTATTTAGCAGAATCAAAAGAATGAACTAAATGTAGGCATCAGACGGCAGCTTGGATGGGGCGATCACGCCTGGTCCCTCCACACCAGGAAGTCGGGACCCCAACCTGGTCCGAACTGGACTGCTGTCTGCGGCGTGCTTGCTTCAACCAGGAGACGCGCCTCTCAAGCAGGGAACACACATGCTCTAAATGGAACGGCGCTCCTTAAGTATCAACCAGGTGGCCGCATAATGGAAGCGCCTCCCACCTAGAGGACCTTAATTGATAGTGTTAATTTAGGCAGTTAACACATATGCTCACCCGACAGCACAGCAGGGCTGTCACACCCCCGCCCATAAAAAAAAGCAGGTTCTATATGGAACCCTGCTCCAAATTCACCAACCGTGTAGTAAACCCGGCCACCCTTAACGTATTTCTCTTACCCACAATGTATTCGAATTCGTTTAATGTACAGATTTCTTCCTCTGCTCGTTCTCTAGGCCAGCAACTGGTTTACTCAGAAGCTTCTTAAAGGCACATAGAAAAGAAACAGGGACAAAACAAGCACAAAAAAACACCACATGCTAAAAAAGTGGAGCGCTAGATAACGCATCAGCTATGATGTTGTCTTTTCCTTTAATGTAATGAATATCCAGATTGTAGGACTGCAGGAACAATGACCAGCGAATCAAAAGCTGATTTGGACATTTCAGGGAAGACAGGAACGTCAACGGATTATGATTTGTAAACACCACGATGTTAGCGCCACACAAACATATGGATGAAGGTGCTCTGGTCAGATGAAACCAAAATCGAACTTTTTGGCAAAAATGCAAAATGTTATGTTTGGTGTAAAAGCAGCAAAGCTCATCACCCTGAACACGCCGTCTCCACTGTCAAAAGTGGTGGTGGCAGCATCATGGTTTGGGCTTGCTTTTCTTCAGCAGGGACATTGAAGATTGTTCACATTGATGGGAAGTCTGCAAAAGACCTGAGACTGGGACAGAGATTTATCTTCAACAAGACGATGATCCAAAACATAAAGCAAAATCCACAATGGAATAGTTCATAAATGAATATATCAGGATGTTAGAATGGCCAAGGCAAAGTCCAGACCTGAATCCAATCGGGAATCTGTGGAAAGACATGAAAACTGCTTTTCATAAATGCTCTCCATCCAACCTCTCTGAGCTCCAGTAGTTTTGCAAGTAAGAATGGGAAAAAAAAAATTCAGTCTCTCAATGTGCAAAACTGATAGAGACCCCAAGCAACTTGCAGCCGTAATCGCAGCAAAAAGTTGCGCTATAAGGTATTAACTGCTGAGGGCTGAATCATTTCCCACACGCAATTCTTCATTTTATTGGTTATAAAGTTTAAAATATCCAATCAATTTTGTTCCACCTCATGATTGTTTCCAACTTGTTGTTGATTCTGCACACAAATTACTTGTCATGATGTTTTTAAGGGATCTGACCCACATGCAGGAAACCACTCACCAGAGTAAAAGTTTAACAGGTTTATTAGATGTCCAAGATGGGTAGGATTCAGGTGAACTCAGAGAGCTGGTGAACCGGAACTGGAAGTAAGAAGGGAGGTTCACAGAGGTTAGTTCAGGGTCCATGGGAACTTTGAACAACGTCTTGCAAAACAGAGATAAACGGGACTCAAATTATGCGGAGAAAGTTTTCTTCCCAGAATCCAGTCAGTGTGGGTTTTTCCAGAGAAAGAGGGGCTTGTTGGAGGGCAGACAGGTTTTGGTTAGGTTGGTTCCTGAGGAGCAATTGAGCAGACTGCCGCTTAGATTTCCAGGAGTACTTGAACGGGACCTGTGGAGATAAATCCCCTGCTCAGTGTGAAGTTAAAACAAATCCTTCCATGGGGGAGAAGGCCAAAAAATCCAGTATGCAGGATGACCTACTGCCGAAAGACAAAAGACAAAAACAACGTTAGAACTCAGCGAAACAAAGACTCAGTTAGACTCAGCTAAACTCAGCTTGGCTAGAGTACCCCAAACTGGCAAACACTCTGGGGTCGAGGTAGTGACAGTCCGCCGCTCAAATACTGCTCAGTGATGAGCCAACCAGCCGCAGGTGTGCAGGAGGACCAACAAGGACAGGGTACCACCTGGTGGTGGGGGGAGAGAAGAAAACCAAAAACACAACCCACACAAACTGGATTCCTAAAATTATTATTTTATATCTTTATGTTTAAAGCCTGAAATGTGTCAAAAGGTAGAAAAGTGCAAGGTGGACCGAATACATTCGCAAGACACAGTAAGTGTGAAGTTAAATATAGCTACTTAAAATAAATTTTCCTTCATGGTTATCATCTTTGCTTGAGAAAAAATGCTTCACTTTTTAGAGTTTTCAACATAGCCATATTTTGGATGAATGCTTATAAACTTCTAACTTGCTTAAACGAGGTTGGTTTTTAAACCCAAAAAGTTTTTACAAAACAAAACTCTTAAACAGGTTTTGAACATATTTAGCCAACATTTCTGGATTGAAAATGTTTCTGATCTAATATAATGATTTGGTTTTTTCATTAGATGTATTTTAAGTAAATCAGTATCATTTACAGAAATAAAGACTTTAAAACTTCACTGTTTGTAATTAATTTAGATAACATTTTCCACGTAGAGAATTGATTTTTAAATTGAAATTTTTATTTCTAATTAACCAAATATCACTGTAATTAATTTACTAAATGAGAATTTACCAAAAATTGTTAAATTATATCCTTACATGATTTTCTTATTATTAATTGGTATTATTAGTATTATATATATTATGTTTGGCCTACCTTTAATACTGTCATAACAAACATGTATAATCTTCTTAGAAAACAACAACAAAAAAATCTATGTTGACTTTATATATTATTATTATTATATAAGTGTTGACCAGCATTGGAATGTTTTTGATGTTTAAACAATTTGATAATAAGCTCTAAATATTTTAAGTTAGAAG